GAAAATGCTTGTTTTTATCGGTATTTACAATGTTTTCAGGGGGTCGGTGGAGCATGGGGGGGGGTGTCCACATGTATAAAAATATATATATATATATACACATCTTACTCCATATGTTACTATTATTATATATAACTATATATTACTCTACGTTCCTACATGTCACTGTATAAAACTATAAACTATTATATACTACCCCTAAGCCCTAAACCCTCAACCCCAACCCTAAGCCCTGACCCTGTATATCGGCCAGCTTGAGGGCGTGGCCGTCAACTGCTTTGGCTTTGCCTGGCTTGGCTCCGGTTCTGGCCGTGACCGCGCCAACCTGGCCCCAAGGGGCGTGAAAAGGGATGTGTGGGAAGGTATAAGGGTTGAAAGGGATATATATCAAGTCCTGATGGGGAACAGTTGGGGTTACAAATATTATGGCTACCTGGTTTTTCGAAACTACGGATACGGTGCCAAACATGTTGCGTTTAGGGTTGAGCCAAAGGCGTAGGGCTTATGACTTTCGCATTCGAATGGCCGAAGCAGAAAGCAAGGGAAGTTCAGGCCGCCTGGGTTTAGGGATTCCTGTCCAGTAAGATGACTCACGGGTGATTAGTGGGGAATGAGGGACCATATGTATTTATATATGTATATATGTATATACACATGTATATGTAATGTTGGGATTATGTAGGATTTTATTCCCCTGTTCCCCTACTGACAACCAGTATGTTGAGAGCTTGGGGACTTCAGGATGGCCGCTTGGTTCTTGACGTTAATTGTCTGAAAGCACGGAATAAGCACAGTTACCCTGGATACTTTTTGGGGTGTCAAGTTTGAGTTTAGGGGCTTTTGGCAGTAGTGTTGCTGCTATTTCTCATATTACTGTTGGTACTATTTTGTATTATTGCTAGTTTTACGAGTAGCATTACTATTGTTACGATTCTAGGGTCGGGGATTTGCGGGTTTAGGTGTTGCGGGCTAGCTCGCCTCCAACTTTGCTTCCGCAACCTCCTGAACGCAGGTTTAGGGTTAGGGTAAGGTTAGGGTTTAGGGTTTAGGGTTTAGGGTTTAGGGGTTTAGGGTAAGGTTAGGGACCCCAATCATGGAGGATCCGGTACTTGGGGATCTCTTGAAGTCTCTTGACGTAGGAAGCCTACTTCTTAAGAGGGGTTATTGGACTATCAGGATTTTTGGCGGAGAGTTGGTAGATTCACTGAATCACGAGATCATCCCAGGAAGCAACATCAGAAGTTATTCCCAAAGCTGCCGATAAATCTGTGCTTAGGGTTTAGGATTTTGGGGCTAGGGTTCAGGGTCCTCCTCCAGGACACCATGATCCGACATTGTGTCCTCACCAAGCATGAGGCATGTTCGCGGCCCGCGCCTTACCGTTGATACTGAAAATCCCTCATGACCTCGGTATCCACCCTATAAACCCCTATAGCCCCCCCTTACGTAGATAGAATATGGGGCATATGGGGATCTTATTGTAATTTGCCCTAAGTCATATTCTATGTATTGAAGCATATCAGCCAAGGTGCCAATTCATTTTCCATATGATTTTCCATTCGATTCTCTAGTATGGTGGCAAGAGTTTTTGTATCCACCGTATAAAAGCAGCTTGAAGAGCTCCTCGTCAGGAAGCGTGGGCGCAATGTCAGCCTCGGCTGCAAACATCCCCATACATAGGGTATTGCCTCCACCCAGTAACAGGTCATGACAGGGGTAATATTCAAGGCCACTTAATTAAGGGCTGCACATATGATCCAACTCAACTGTTGCTGGGTGGGGGCAGTGTCCAACCCATACAAAACTATTTTGACATTTGTGCCATGCTCTTGGAAACGTTATGACACAACGCAAGCCAGCGGTCCACGGCCTCCATGCTATCGCAATCCGAAGCCGTCACCTTCCAGCTGAGAACATGTGCGTGCGGGGTTCCCTGCCAGGGTGCAAAAACAGGCACAGCGCACCATCCAGGAAGCAGGCGGCTTCAGCGACGGCAGATTGTCCTGACTACTTCGGATGCAGCAGCTTGCATCAAGACTGTGACCCTGCGCGCCTCGGATGTTCTGGCACTTGGTCTTGGAGCCTTGACAGGAGATATGGGGTTTCCCAAAATTCTGGGTACCTTTTTCGGGGATCATAATACGGTATATAGTATCTTGGGTCTATATTAATTCCCCCTATTATGGGAAACTAACATTTACCGGTCAGGGCAGCAGCCTCATGTGGAAGCTCAGCTTGCAACTAGGCCAGCAAGCTCCCGAAGAGCGTTGGCAGCTGCGCCGTTGGGGCCTCAGCAAAAACTCAAAAAGCACTGCCTTGTTGAACAGGACAGCAAGAAATCTCTACGTGCGGCGTTGTCTGAGTACAAGACTAGCTCCCATCTCCCGAAATCGGTCAAATGATGCACGCAGCATCTTGGCCGCCTTTCGTCGGATCGCTGCAGGTGGACGACCTGCTCAGGACGTGGCTGTTGCCTAGATGAACCCTACAACCCGAGGCCAAGTCAAGGGACTTCACTGCAGGCGAAGTAAAGTTCGCTTTGCCATGCAGTCTCACATCATCCCATAAAGACTGCCTAAAGAGGAATACCTTGCTACAAAGTACCATGGAAACTGACGTGCTGAGCCGCCTTTCTTGGAGTATTTCGTCTTGCGGACCGCCTCAGCTTCAGCCATGCAACAGAGCAGACAGACAGAAGAAAGCTGCTGCATCTACTTCTCCGCTGCAGGTTGGTTTGGGATAAGCAACAACCCACATTGTAGCAGCGAGAAACCACAGCCGTGCTGCGTGCTCAAACCTGCTTAGATCTGGAAGCATGCGCTGATATCTGGCAACCCAGCTTCGTCTGGCACTGCATCACCTTCCAGCGTAACCCAGACTGGCGCTTTGCCAGGCAAAGGAACTTGTCTAGGTGTTGACTCGTCTGGCTGTTCATGCGGAGTTTTCAGAGGCAGAGACAATGCCTGATGCCAAGTATACTCGCGCTGCCCGATCTTCAGAACCTCCGCTGGGTCAGGTACCGGACGGCTGCTGCCTGCCAACCCGTCTGAGCCAAAAGGCCGCACTTGAATCTTGCGCCAGAAAGCGACCATGAAAGTGATCCTTCGCAGCTGGTCGCTGGAACTGGGAGCAACACCGCAACCTGGAATCACTCCGTGGAAATAAGTGCCATCGTAGGCTGCCAGACGACCCTCACTTGGGTACACAAACCATCCCTGGCTCCCTAAAGAATCCTTGGTCAGCGCCTGGTCTGTGACAAGGGTTGGTCCACCCACTCCGGGCGGTGCCACTACGTACAGCACACAGCTGCAAATGGGGTTGCGCACCCCACCAATTCCCTCATTGTCACTGTCATAATGCATTTGGTGGCCGCAAGCGTGAGGACGCTTGTGTGCCCACCACTCCGCCACCGTAGCATTGGCAAGATCCGGGAAATAGTCTCCCTTCTTGAGAAACTCCCAGATATGACGGATAACTGCATCCAGTGTGTTTCGCTCTGGCCCGACCACATCTTGTACATAGCTAAAATAGCCGTTCTCACCACTGCCGCAAACTTCATTGTATCCGTGCTCAGACCAAAATTTGGACTCGGGCGCCAGCCATTCCTGCAAGTGGTACAGATGACTAGGTGGCAATGCATCATCGAACACACAGCCTGGGAATCCTGCTGCGCTGGTTGGAATTTTAAACTCAGGGTATCGCCAAACCCAAGAGGCCAATCGATACTTGTATCCAGCAGATTGCAACAACGGAATAGCTTCCTCTTCCCTTCCACCTTGGAGGAGGAGAAGGGCCAGTCGTGCTAATACGGGTCGCTGAGCAGGATTAGCACCCGGATCCCCTGAAATCGCGTGTCGGAGAACTTGCTCACATGCATCCGGCTCTCCATCAGCTGAAGTTGCCATGACGTGCAACAATTGAGCAAATCGAAGGGATGTGTCCAGCAGGCGCACGGGACTTAGTACCATTGCTTTAGCATATGCCTCACGTGCTCCGTGCCAGTCGCCACCACGTTCCATCAACTCTGCTTCTTGGAGTGCATCCTCTGCATCGGCCTCGGACCAGAAACGCATTGTCTCAGTTTGAAGTTTTGTTTTTACAGCCTCCAAGGTGCGTTTCGTTTTTGCTTTAGGCTGGGCACGCTTGAACTTCTTGGTGAATGGCCCGCCTAATTCCGCATGCAACAAGCCCTGCAAAGCTTCCAACTCTGGATCGTCCAATTGCTCAGGCGGCGGATGCCCAGCTTCCTCTTCATATGCGGACAAAACTTTGGTCCACAAGTCTTTCCAACGATCATCGTAAAGATCCATGGCTTGAGGTTCATTGAGGGGACTTTCTGCCACCGAATATCGTGGTGTGGAGCAAATTAACAATCGACTGCACTCTTAGCTGCGAAGTGTCACTGAGGCTGCGGATGCGAAGCTGGGTAAGCACGCAATGTACTTTCTACGCGTAAACTACTATGAAACTCTGGTGAGGCTTATGCCGAATGATTCCACAGTGCAACGTGCTCTCTGGTTACTCCTTGACTCCCTGCCTCAGGCCAAGCTGAGCGATGCAAAGACCACGGGGCCAACGGCAGAACATGGCAAAACCCACAACAGAAAAACATAGGCCCTAAGCCCTCCTTGCCTGTGCTGGCAATCATGGAGCATGTTGAGAACCGGTTGAACAAGACCCCTAAAAGAGCCAAACCAAATATGGATGATTGCATACTTGCATTCGCACCCACGAGTACTAAGGCGCCAGCTCGACGATGTGATGTAGATGTTGATGGCTTCCCTCACCGATTTGACGGTCACCCCACGTTCGGCTCATCGTCATGGCTTCAAGGCCCGCACTACACAAGCGCGAGACGTGGCGAGAAAACCTCACCAAGAAGAACATGATCGATGACTATCTACGCAGCAAGCCTCGAACCTGCACTCGCAAAGGCTGAGGTGCAGACTTTGTTCTCCATGCCCTGTCTCAGAATTTAAGATTTAAGCTAAAAGTCCGGGACAGCATTCAGCCAGCCTTGCATTTGCGACATGCCAACCTGAAATGGACAAGCATGGCAGTGGCTACTTCCGTTGGCAAAACACTGCAAAACGTTGATAGTACTCTTGCCAATGCCGGAACAGCGCAATTTTTGCCCTCTGCCCTGCCTTCGTCCTGTACTTCCGACACGTTGGCACCGCCACGATCTCCAGCCATCAAGGCCTGCACGCTCTGTCTCATGCTTCTGCTTGGCTGCTGGATGCATGGCGGGGCAGCTGTGCTTGACAATTCATGTTTTTGCGGCCTGCGCGATCTCTCTCCCAAATGTCGCTTCGGCTACCCACTGGGCCAAACCAAACAGTCGCAAATACATTGCACAAGTGAGTATACGCTCACTTTGCCACATGGGGACACATGCAGATGCGGGCGCAGGTCCAAGCTTCTGACTTGGCAACATTTGGGTCGTATCTTTTTTCGGCGGCTTACTTGTGCAATGTATTTTGCTTGCCAGTCTACAGGTGGACTCGAATTTTGTGCTTGCCAATCCATGGACCAGAATTTCTATGATGTCTTGTTTGGCGATTCACAGCCAACTCCAACCTTTTAATTTGCAGTTTACAGGGAAACGGTTTCCACATCACTTTTATTTCATGCGTGCACATTTTTGGCACTCCCCCTCCATATTTATCGTTTTCATAAGACATAATCCTTTTCCCCTAAAATTAATGGCCCCCCCTAATGTGAATGGCTCCTGCTAAAACCCACCCCAAATATGTTCTTTTTGGTTTTTGGGGTTTAGGGTGCGGTGGGCCCTCTGTGCAGTTCCGGATGGGTACCTGCACGCAGCAGCACAGGCCGCGCTGTTGGAAAGTTACGGAGGCGTCCCCACGGCAGCTACCCGCCCCGGCCACCGAAGAAGCCGCGTCGGGCACAGAAAGGGCGCTGCCTGCCAACGCTGAGGCCACCACACGCATACGGCCATCAGCGACGCAGCGTGGGCGCAATTAGGCTCCATCGATCTACAGGAGGAATTGCGCCACCCAGTGCCAACCTTGCAAGATGTTCCTCCTTTCATGCGAGCGGCAGTCCGCGGGGCGCTGGTCCCCGCGTTATGCAAGTTGCGGAGTGCACAGGGGGGAGACGGCACAGCCGCTCGAGCTTGGAAATTGTTCCTGTTAGGGCTGCTCGGCCGAGCCGCGGCCTTCCAACGGGGCGACTGGCTCCGCTTGGTGGGCGCCGCCCGCCTGGCACCGCGCGCCGCGGACGCGGTGCCCGAATCCAGCGAGTTTGAGGCAGACGCCCGCCGCCGAGAAAGAACGTGCGCGAACATACGCATGGGTGAGGTGTCTCGCGCCCGGCAGGCGCTCACAACGCCCGCGTTGGCCCCGGGCACGGAGCAGACGTTCGCTGCCCTCACGGACCCTGCGCGCAGGCCGGCCGAGCAACGCGCGCCGATACCGCCAGAAGTATTAGCGCACGAGCCAGCTGAGCCCGTGACCTTAACCCCGCAAAGCGTTGCCTCCGCCCTTCGGGATGCACCCCGCGGGGGCGCGCCGGGTTTGTCTGGCGTGCGGGCCGAACACCTCAAGCTGTTGCTACAGGACCTAGCTGCACAGGAGTTTCTGGCCCATGCGGCTACGCAGCTGGCCCGAGCGCATGTGCCTGAAGAAGTGGCCCTCGCCGTAGCCATGGCGCGACTGACGCCTCTGAGGAAGCCCGACGGCGGCGTGCGAGGCATAGCCACCGGCGACGCCTTTCGCCGCCTGGTTGCCCGCGCGCTTGCTAAGGAGTGGAGCGGCGTTTTTTTCGACCGTGCCTCGCGCCCTTTCCAACACGCCCGGCGCCGTGGTTGCCACAGTCCGAGCCGTGCTGGAATCCCACCCAGAAATGGTTGTTGTTTCGCTGGACGGGCACGGTGCCCTGGTGCAAGCAGCGGGCGCCCTTGATCCAGCAGACCAGCTGTCCGCGTTTCTGGATGATTTGTATGTCATCACAACGTCCCCGCGAGCACGGATGGCATTGGACACAGTCGTCGGGAAAGTCGAGACGCACTGCGGCAGCCCCGCCCGACTTAGCCCAGCTTGGCCCGGGAGTCTGGCGCGGGGACCGTCCCGCGGATGAACGGGGCATGGTGGTACTGGGCTCCCCCGTAGGCCACCTCGATTTCGTGCATGCATGGACAGTACGACGCTGGCTCGAAGAGCAAGAGCTTCTACGACAGCTGCCCCTGTTGCCCGACTTGCAATGTTCCTGGCTCATGCTCGCGCTCTGCGTGTCACATCGCGTCACCACGCGCCAACCACGCGTTGCGCACGGTGCCCCCACCCGAAGGAGCCCGCTACGCAATCAGGCACGATGATGCCATATGGCACACGCTGCTCGACTGCCTGGGCGGAGAGGTGGGGGCGTCGGCTGACGATACGCAACTGGCGCGGGCCATCGCGTTCTCGCCGGCCACGCTTGGTGGCATCGGCCTCCAATCAGCAATGCGCCAAGCACTGGCTGCGTGTTGGGCAGCCTGGGCAGATGCCCTGCCCATCATGGGGGCCAGGCTCCCGGCGCTCGCGGAACACTGTGTCCAGGCCCTGGAGTCCGGCGCGCCTGTGGCATGTTTGGGCCGTGCAGAACATGCCCGCACGCTGCTCCTCACTGAGGGTTGGGACGCTTGCCCCACGTGGCGGGACATGGCGGCGACTGGCCGCATGGCTGGCAGCTCCACGCATCGCGCACTCGCAACTCCTACTTCCGCGACCGCATGCTGTTGCCGTCTTTGCCGCCTCCCCGC